TTTGTTCGCTTTGCCACTTTTTTGTAGTTAGCTGACGGAATTTAATAAGCCAGAAATGCGCCAGCCGAACCGAAATATTTTGAAAAATCAGCAAGCCCGACGTGGGTTCGCTAATTAAAGTCACCCTCGGTGGCTAGATATTTTTTTGTTTAAATGCTACACTCAGAGTAAAATAAAATGCAGAATTTTGAGAATTAAGTTTGAATATGTTTTTGCAAGCTGAGGAGAAACGGTATGTTAAAAAAACTTAGCAAATTTTTCAATAAAAATATTGTAAAATTATACCGATAAATATATATTTTTTTCTGAAATTTAAAAAACTTTTGCCTATTTAAATAAAAGTATATTTGCCTTTTACTGGATAGGAAATATTCATCCCTCAAGAATCATATGAATGTATTCCTCGCGGCTTAGTTTTTATCTAAGTGTAAAAGCATATGGCTGGACACGCCTCCACCGCCTTTGGCTAATGACAAATGGTTGTCAGTTTGTCAGTTGGCCGCTGCAACAACTGCAGATAAAAAGCGACCAACTTTTTTTGCACCTATTTTGGCAGGCCAAAAGGGCAAACTGTGGAATTTCCCAGGGACTGGGATAAGTTTTTGAAATGAATTGGAAGTAATGAATGAAGGAATGAAAGAGCGGTGGGCTGGCAAAAGGGTAAGTGGGGAATGTGGGGAAAGTGGCGGAGGCAGCAGCTGCTCGTTGGCCTGTGCAATTAACTGTGAAAATGCTGTCACAATATTTAAAAGTTTTAATTGTTTGTTCAATTGCAATTGCAATTTCAAACTGGCGCCAAACTTTGCACTTTTGTTGTTTTAAACTTGTTCAGCGACTCTCGCTCTCTGATGTCGCCTCTCTGGTCCTGTTGGTCCTAGGCTGCAAAAAAAAAAGAAGTAATTTAACATGAATATATCGCATTTCATGGAGTCATACATCACGCGGCAGCGGAGGGTTAAGGAGGCGGCAGGGGGGGGGCGTGGCATGCCGGCGGGCAAGTGACAGCACTAACATAAACCACAATAATATCCAAAGTCATGAAGGAAGTAACCAAGTGTGAATTTTCGGTTTATGCCTTGCGAACCCAAGCGTTGAAGCGGCGCTGCTGCTGTTTTTCCCCATTCCGAGTCCCCGCTTTTCCCCATTTTCCTCGCTTTTCCGCTTTCCCTTGGGCGGTGCTCGTTGGTGTGGCTTGTTCTTCTTCCTGTTGTCGGTGGGTCAAATGGGTGGGGCCTGGATTTATAGCGTCACTTGGCCACACTGGCGGAGTCCAGTTCGCTACGTTCGCTACAAAAGTGCCTGGCGAAAACTAAATAATATTAAACACTATTAAAGATATTGAGTAAGAAGTTCCTTTTAAATAAAGTAAAATAGCTTGTTGAATATTCTATAAAGGTAAAAACATCATAATTTAGTCATTCGTATTTGTACTACAACAATTTTGTGGCTAACAACCAACCAAGAAGAGGTGACTTTAACTTAACATCTAATATGGTGACATTATAATTTAAAATTGGATTTTGCTTAGACAATTATTTATATTAAACAAATAAAAATAAACAATATTTTTAAAAATATTTGATCAAATAAAATTAATATGGTATTCCGAATTTTATAACGTTTTATTGTGATGAGCATTAACTATTGAACTTAAAAATACGTTTCTTTGTTATGTTTAGCCTTAATCTTTCTTAAAGTTCTTAATTCCATTCATTTTAAAGCCTATTTGAAAAAACATTTATTTTTATTCTGTTTAAATAGTCACTGAAATATATTTTAAAGTTCCGTATTTATGAAACTATAAAACTATTTCTATATACATATTTTTGTATTTAAAAAATGTTGTTTCTTGAGTGACGACTGTTGGTTTTATTTTAAAAAGTACTTTACAAGGCAGCGCACAGTGGGAATCACCGTGGTTTTATTCACGTTTTCTTGTTTTTTTTACTTCATCCGCTTGGCCCCTCTGCCCCGCCCCTTTCCGACACCACTGGCCGCTTGGCTGGGCACCCCTTGCAGTTGTTTTATTTGCGCTTCCGTTTCGCGGACAGTTTGCTTTGCTGTTTTTATTTCATTTTTCTACAGCTCCAGCTCCGCACCCCGTATCTAACTGTCTCTGTTACTCCTTTTTCGGTTTTGTTTTGTTTTGTTTTTATTTTATTTTTTTTTCGTTCGTTTACAACAGAAAAATGTTGCAACAAAACATTTACGACGTCATCGTTTCACAATTTTCGTGCTCCGACCCCCCTTTTGCTCACTTTCTCGCTGTCCTGGAATCGTTGTTTTGTGTTTCTGTGTGTTGTGTCTTGAAATAAAAATTGTTGTTGCCGCTCTCGTTCTTCATGTTGTTGTACAAGGTCCGCCCACGCGACCATTTCCTCCCCCCCTCTACCCTCGCTGCTACTGACGAAAAAAAAACAGCACACACAAAAAATAACAGTGGTAAAAAAAGAGAGGCAAACCTTGTGTCATTTATCATGCATTTCCACTTTTGGCTTCCGTCGACCAGGACGTGGCCCGCACAGACAAATGTACAGGGACAGGCGGACGGACAAACGGACGGACGGACAAGCGGACGGACGGATGGACGGACAGTGGTCGAGTGGAGTTGCGGGCAAGACAGCTAAAATGAAGGCAGCCAGGCGCAAGCTCTTTAAAACAAAGATATTGGACAGTTAAGGTACCCTGGATAGAGGAAAACTTTTTAGAAAAAACATTAAACGTCGCTCTTAAATAATATTGGATTTATAAAATTTATATGTATTCGTTAAATGAAGATTCGGGCTTAACTGTTTTACCCACTAAAATGACTTCAGAACTGCTTCACTGAATATCACGGCAAACAGGAAGCACAGCTTGCTGAACTGCTTCTTCCGGAAGGGTTCATGAACTGCTTGCGCACCGGAGCCAGAAGGGGTAGCCCTTAAAAGTAGGCAATGATTTACAAAACTTTAAAAGCGAAACTGTTTAGCATTAAATTAATTTTTTATTTTATTTTATATATTTAATTTTTTATATTTGTTGAGCTACAAGTTAAAATATAATTATTTTTAAAGCAACCAAAAATGGCACAAATCAATGAAATATATTAATTAAAAACCAAAATTATACATTTAAAAGGGAACACTTGGCAAAACAAAAAATAAATTAAATTTATAAGGACATTGGATCACCTTGCTGTAATTTTGTAATATTTGAAATGCATTTTTGAACTTTGCTTTAGCTAGATTACCCTATGCTACCCCACCAGATGTGTTTTATATTATGGAAACACCACACCTCCAAATTTGTAGTATTTTGTGTTCCTCTTCTTGGGCCTCTTCATGCATATCTCCGTAGGCGGGGGAAATCCGAAAACAAATGAAGCCAGGCACAAATCATAGTCAGACGAACAATTTATGCGTTTTCATTTGCCATAGTCATTCCCAAGGAATTTCCATTTTATGCAAGAAATGACAAAAATCTTTAAGCGGAATTCGAAATTAATCAAAATAAACGACCGTTAAATCCACATCCTCCACGGCTAAGCAACATTTTCCGCTCATGTCCCCCGACTAAATTGCCAAGTCATTTGCGAAATTTGAATATGGAAATGTTGCGAGTGGACAACGGCCAAGAACGGAAAATTATGAAAAAGTTCTTCAAATTGTTTGATATTGAAACGCGGCAAATATTCCCGACTTGCTGCTGCTGTTCTCTTTCTTTTACCCTCTAAAAGGCAATTGATTAAAGGCAACCGGAGACGGAAAGTGGAAGGGCAGTGGTCGACTGTGATGGAGTGACTGCTCCAGGTGGGCTGACTGGAATGAGTTGACGATTTTCTAGGTTCTTGAAGGATGACATGAAAGGCGAACGAAACTTGAAATTTCCCGCTTTCTCATGAATTTTATGGTGTGTAGCTAAATGATTTTTATTGTTTATTAATGATAACTTTGCTCCTGTTTCCCAAAAAGACAATGTTTTGGTAAAAGAAGTTTCCATCGAAAATGTTTTTTTTGTTTTTTTTGTTTGCTTAATACTTGATTAAAACGAAAATTTATTCGTACTATCTATCGGTTATTCTTTATCAGATTATTTATTAATTCCTGCCATTTTATATTCAAATATTTTATTTGGTTTACCCATGTTGGTCTGGATTTGCCAAGCTTACAGCTGGGACTTCCTCTCAAACGCGATGAAGTTGGTTTGCTTGTGGGGATAAAGGTTTTCCCACAGCTGCCTTTGGTATCATGCGGGAATTCGAGTTCCGACTTTTTCTGCCAAACAAATGCGACGCCATTTGGTCTCTTCCCTTCCCCATTTCTCGATTTCTCCTCCCCAACTTGTTCATTTCTCTCTGTGACGCATCGGGACCGCAATGAACTTGAGCCAGCTGTCAATGTGATAAATAAACTTGGCTTGCCAAAAGGGTACAGCCCTCTGGCTCTGCTGCAACATATAAATAATAATCAGGCAGCTGTCTCGCCACAGTGCGTTTCGCAATTGTAAGGCCTCGGTGGCCAGACAGCAAAACAAGAAAGAAAGAGGAAATGTGGAGATCATTTAGATAAGGATGCCTTTGGATAAGTCAAAGAGTTGCCAGAGAATTTTTAAAAATAGAGCCAATATTATATCTTGAAAATGCAATAATTTGTTTTGGGTTGGCACATTTTTAAGCTTTAGTTACTCTATTAAATATACATTTATTTCGTGTTGAAGTACCCTTAGTCTTTCATCAAAACTGTAAGTTTCAGACAAACATTACTCAAGAATGATTTAAATTTAAATTCAACTGGTTTGCTAAAAGTGCTCATGAGATATTGTTTTTCAATACCACAAAGCAGACAATCAGAGCGTATTGAAATCAAAACAGGAAACCGAATTGCTTGGTAAACATACTATGTACTTTTGACTGGTATTTTGCTTCGTATTTTTTCTCAACAAATTGTGAAAAGCTAAACTTATTTTAAAAGCCTGTGTTAAAGTTGGCCAACTGAGAAAATGTATTTTTCTTGTACTTTTCAGTGACTTTTGACAAAAGCGCGTGGCATCTATATCGAGCAACAGGATGCTGGGACTGCCATTGCTGACTCTAGCGGTCCTCGCCAGCTGCGGCTACACCGTGGACGCCTACTCGAGTACGTATACGTGATATTCCGGGCGGCGGGGGCTTTCGGGGTGAACTGCCATTTTCCTTTAAAGCCACCGCCCCCCTGTTATTTGTTGTATTGTGTAATCAGTAACCCCGAGATGAACACCGATCCACGAGATCGGTGGTGAACGTTTCATGCCTTCATCAACCCCCCACCCCATCATTGACATTGAATATATTGAAGCCAGAGGAGACAACCCCGATTTTGTGCAGGCTTATAATTTGTATTTTCTTTTTTTCCGTATGATTTTGACCCACTCCAACACGCACACACACACACACACACTCTGAATCCCGTTATCCGCAATCCCCGAACCTTGAACAATGAACCCCGAACCCTGAACCTAATCGAATTTCCCGCGGGCGAAGAGTACGGCCGTGGATGCGGGGACATTGGCTGCCTGCCCACGGAGGAGTGCGTCATCACCAGCGACTCGTGCAGCTACAACCAGCGGGATGGCAAGGATTGCGGCAACTATCCAACCTGCAAGCGGCGCTCCGGCGGAGGATCGTCCGCCTCGAACAGCAGCCCCAACTTGGCGGCCAATCCCTCGGCCAATCCGTCAGGTATTTAGCTTGGAATCCCCCACTTGATTACTCATTGTGCGCTTCCCTGGGGGAGTTGTCCAGGCGATTGGCATCGTGTTTCGTATTGCGTATTGCGTATTGCGTATTTTGTATATCGTGTTTCGGGCTTTGGCGACCGGCGATTTTCGATTGGCGATTGGCGGCCACTTTTCTTTGGTTCCTCAAAACGAGTTATAAATTTCAACGATTTGTGACTAAAGACAGGGATTTGTGGGGGCAACAAAGCTGACTTCGGACGCCGAAGATTATAATATTTCTGCAGAGTCGAGAATGCTTTATTTTTTAAAAAACAGTTATTGTCCGATTATTTGGGACAATGCTTAGATTTTTGTATATAAAGGGGTTAACAAGACCGTTCCTCATTTAATTCCTTCCGATCTTTCGATAAAAACACATTCTATGTTCTGATTATAAAATATTCACTTTATAGTCTGAAACTCGGATCTGAAATAATTAAACATTATAGTTTTATGCAATTTAAAGTCGTTTTTTAATTCCGTGTCACTATCACGTATAAATTCAAGGTTCTATTTATTTTAAGACTCATAAAATTCCGAATACTCTGCAAGGATATGTAATTCCAAATTCTCGAATTTCTTTTGTGTTTTTTTTTATGTTTGGTCTTAAGTTTTTGTTAAGTTTGTGATCGTTTTCACCTATATATATATATATATACACACATATATGCAATATAACCGAATGTAATATGGCGATCTAACAAACAAACTCGCACACAAACACACATCAAGACACTGAGAGCTTCTGCTGACTCAATCAACCTAACACTCAATCAATCAATCAATCACTCGCTCGCTCGCTCATTCATCGCCTCATTCGCTAAAGGCTTCCAAATATTCGACTGCTAACCACCCACCCGCCCCCTGCCACTCCCCCTCTCTGACGACCACTTCTGCATGTATTAGGAAGTCAAAGCACAAAGAGAAAAAGGGCATATCAATGCCAGCTCGATTTTTGTATAAATTATGGCACACAAGTATTAATTCTACTAAAGCCATACAAATAATTATTATTATAGCACTATTACAAGATTAGGCACGAATACGATTCCAAGTTCAATCATTATACAAAAACTCCATATAAATATCTAGTTTGTATCGTAAACACAATTTTCTGTGTGGTGAATTAACAGTCACACAGTCTTTAAATTTACAGCTTTATTCAAAAATGGTTTGGTAAAAATTAAAAATTTAATATATTTTAATTGAAAACTACCTTTTCGAAAGACTTATAATTCAATTAATAACAAGAGTAAGGTACTATGCTTTTAGATAAATTTACTTTTTAAATCTATTTCAAATCAATCTCTTATATAATGTATTGTAATAAAAAAAGGCCACTTTTCATGTTGTTATTGCCAGAAGTTTGACTGTTTCTTGAATTTATTTTTTTTTTAAACCGCAAAAAAAAACAATGTCACTTCTCTCTGTGCTGATCGGAGCGGGAGCTAAAGGGAGGGCAGGCCGCGGCGGCAACATTGCCACATCCAAAACTAACGCTAACAAGAAAACCCACTCTCTTTTCCCCGCGTGCCACGTGTGCCATCGAACTACTGCCAACTACTAACCACTAACAGGATCGAGTTTGGGCCAGGGACCCGAGAACAACATCTTTGCACCCGCCTCATCGAATCCCACGCTTAACACCTACACCTACAACAACCATCAGCAGCAGGGCGGCGATGGCGGAGGCGGAGGCGATGGCTACAACGGCAACGGCCATGGGAACGGAAATGGGAATGGGAACGGAAATGGTAATGCCGGAAACGGGGATCGCGACAAAGGCGGCAATGGCAACGGTAACGGCAATGGGAACGCGGGGGCAGCGGGCTCCTCCTCGTCGGGCGTCATCGATCCGCACTATGTGTTCGGGGCCAAACACCATATGCCCGTCATACCGAACATGCCCATCTTCCCGTACAACTCGCCCACGTCGGCGCCCTCGTTCCAGCAGTTTCCCCAACCCAATCATCCAGGCAGCGTCCTCAATCCCGGCTATCCCATGCACGGCCTGCAGCCGGTGAACCCGTACAATCCGCCCTTCGTCTTTGGCCAGTTGCCATTTTACGGCGGCGGCGGACCGACCGGCACCGGCGGTCCGCCCGGCGGCGTTGGAGGCGGCGGCGGTAACGGCGGCGTCGGCGGCGGCGTCGGACTGCCCAGCTCCACGCTGGGCATCCTCGGCGGCGGCGGCGGCGGCCTGGCGCCCTACGGCAGCAACTTCCAGGGCTATCAGAGCCAGCACTCCAACGCGAACATGTACAACAAGCCGCCGCCGCAGTACCAGAACCAGAATCAACAGAACCCCTACAACCGGCGCACCCAGGCCCATCCCTCGGCAGCTGGCAGTTTGGGCGGCATCGGGAGACCTGCGATCCTAGTCGCATGCCTCGTCCTGGCCCTCCTGTCCCACACGTAATAAGCTGAGGCGGCAGCAGGAGCGGCACGGGCCACAACACGACGACCCCTGGCACATTTGTCCCCCTGAAAATATGCTTTAAGTTCAAAACAACCATCACGGAATGAATCCATTTTCACTTTCTACTAACAACAAATCAAAAGAGGTGCTCTCATTTGAGAAAAAATATTGAAATTTGTTTAGGTTTTGGTCGTACTACTTATATATGTATTAGATATAAAAAATAAAATAAGACCATAAATGCATGGCAGTTAATTGGAAAAGTAATTCTTAGGCTAAATATTGAGTGAAAATGGGAGCTCGCCTGAAGGTTGTAAATTTATTTTTTTTCTTTTTATTAGTTTCTATATTCTCCTGATTTTTTTTTCCCATTTTTTACGAACATTTTTATTTGTCGTAGGCTTAAGAAAAATGTAAAAGCAGTACCAGCGGCATTGGAGATAGCAATTGTATATTTTAAGAATTTAAAGTTAGCCAGCCAGCTAGTTATGCGGGAATTACTTTTTTCGATGGTGCAATATAAAGTCACAAACACAAGTACTTTTAATTTGTTGAGCTTATGAAGTCAATGTTTTTATAAAGAGTTAATTTTCAACTTGTTTACACCACTTGTAAGCAATTTGTAGCTCTATTTGCAGATTTTGCAGACTGGCCAACACTTCGTATACGTAATTTAAAAGACTAGAGTATTTTGTGTATATATATATACATAATATACCCATACTCAATTTCAGTATATGTGTTAATGGTTGACAGGATAAAAGAGACAATTATTTTGATAACTTTTGGTAGTATACAAATTTGTGTCCTTGCAATCATATAAGTAAAATATGAAATCTCCTAACATAATGATTGCTTTTCGTAGCTTTCCACAACAATTTAAGGTTTGTGTTTTAATTACACAAGGCTTTGCCGTCTCTCGTTTCACGTAGTTGGTCATTTTTTTTGTTTTGCTCGACCGCCTTTGCTGTCTGGCTCACACTGCGAATACGTAATTTCAATTTAATATTGTGCAGGAGGGCGCCGGCGAGAGCATGTGAGTGTGTTGTAGTGAGTGAGTGTGCGAACGGGTTCATTTGTGTGTGCTTTTGGACTATCAGTCAAGGGGAACTGCTCGCCGACCCCTGGGAGTGTTCTTTTTTGCAGCTCAATTAAATTGGAATTTAATTTCGGGCTTAGACAGCCAGCCTCTGGTCAAAGGGGGCAAAGACTAACCGCCTCACATGGCTACAAATATACAACACAGATACGCACACACACACCGATACACACAAACACATACACATACACACACACACACTTACACACACACACAGATACATGCATGGCTGGTTGGGCAACTTTGATGTTAATTTCATTTTTGTTGATGTTACGAATTTGCGGTCAGACGCCGGCGGATTCAGGGCTTATGATGCTGCTGCTACTGCTGCTGCTGCTGATGCTGCTGCAACTGCTGCTGCAGTCAGATGCAGATACAGATACAGATACTTAGATGGATAGTGTTGTAGATACAAGATACGCATGTCAATCAAAATGCATAATGAGCTACATTCGAGAGCGGTGCACCAAGTGCGCTGCGGTCAAATCAGATTCGTTTTTTTTTTTTTTTTGTACGACTACGAATATGAATAAATAATCACTGAAGCAAGTTAAATGGCATTTTAAAAAACAAAAACAAAACAAAAAAACAAAAGAATTAAGCTAGCCTAAGGTGTTCAAAACTAATCTAAAGTAAAAACTGAAAACTAAGCTGTAAGTGCTGCAGACTCCCGAAAAAAAAAAAAACAAAAACTAATACAAAAACTGTCATAGAAAGGCATTTACATTGCTAACCAACTGCCAGAAAAATCAAAAAACTACAAAATCGAAAGCCAAAAACTAAAAACCAAAAACTAAATACAAAACACAAATTGTGAAGCATTTCAAGCGCATACATACACTTAAACACACAAAGTTCCAGAAATTCAAAGCTGCCCAAGAAAACATAACGATTTTGTCGCTGTAAATTCCGGATAAAAAGCACTCATGTCGAGCATATTTACTCCGTCCGTTTGTATTTGCACACATACACATACACACGAACACACACACACACACATACACTTGATTTGGGACACCACCAACTATTGCTAACTTCATTTGCAATCTCTGAACCGGAACCATGTAAACAGTACGACCAGTATTAACCAAACTGAAATCATTTTATCGAATTAAGATACACAAATACTAAACAAAATACCCAGACCCACATCGACTCATACTCTCAGACACGGCGATGAAATTAACGAGCAAACAATAAGTATTCGAGTATTTACTAATCAAAACCACTAACTAAAGAGTTGTACATAGCATTAAATATATACTATATAAATGTGTGTGGACAGAAGAGATGTTATATTTAATATACTACTGCGAAGACTTAACTAGAATAAGCCCGGGCGGACAAACTCAAAGTTGTGTAGAATTAAAACGAAAAAAAAAAAAAAAACGGTACGATTATTGATCAGAAACGTAAGCTAAGTTCATTGATTGTCCATTAACCATTTTTGCTTACCCCTGTTTTTGCTTTTGGTTACTTAATTTGTGTTTTTTTTTTCTTTGTTTTTGTGTCTCTTTCTTTTCTCCTTATTTGGTTTCATTTGAAATCCCCGCTTTTGTGGCTAACTGCTTTGCACTGCTTGCACTGCTTTGCTGACCGATCAGAGGTGAGCCATAACGCATACGTCCCGAATGCCCCGAATGCCCCCAGTGCCCCGCTGCCGGATGCGGATGCGGGCGGCGGTGCTGGCTACGGCGGTGCTGCGAGCGGTGGCAACGGCGGAGGCAACGGCGGATACGGTGGTGGCTTCTCGGCTGGCGGCCAATCCCTGTACCCCAGTCTACCCAACTCCAATGGTGGTGGTGCAGCGCCGTACAATCCATATGGCGCTGGCGGCAACGGAGGCGGTGGTGGCTACAATCCCTACAACGGCGGCTACCAGCCCCAAGCGCCCGGTGGTTACCAACCCGGTGGCTATCAGCCAGCTGTTCCCGGCGGATACCAGCCCAGACCTGGCTACACGCCACCCGCTCCGGGCTATGAAAACAATGGTGGCGGTGCCCAGAAGCCCAAAGACAAAGAGGGCGGCTTCTTCTCCAACTTCTTCTCGAATCCGGCGGTGAGTCAAGCGGTCTCTGGAATCATTGCAGGCCAGATAGCCAAGCAACTGCAGGGCGGCGGCGCAGGAGGAGGTGGTGGCCAGCAGGCCGGTGGCTATCAGCCGAGCGGTGGCTACGGCGGCGGTTCGTCGGCAGGTGGCGGCGGCAGCTCTGGATCCGGATCCGGAAGTAATATCCTTGGAGGACTGCTGGGATCCGTTCTATCGGGCGGCGGGGCCAATGCAGGCGGTGGCGGCGGTGCCAGCAGCTTTCTGGGCAGCCTGCTCAGCGGTGGAAACTCCAATCGAGGTGCTCAGCAGGGCGGAGGTGGCGGTGGCTCCGGCGGACTGGGCGACATTTTCAACTCGAAGAACTTTGGCGGCCTCTTCAGCGAGAATCCCTCATCCAGGAGCGGCGGCGGCTCCTCCTCCTCCTCTTCCGATGGAGCCAAGGGCTACCCCACCCAGGCACCGGGCAACTACTACGGCTGAAGGATCAAGTAGCCCCATCATTTACGTGGAGAGCCACCTTGGTCTCCCCATCAAATACACAACGTTTTTTTTTTCGTTCTTTGGCAATGTAATCAAATGGAGAACTTTCAACGAAATTAACTGAAACAATATTGAAATATATAAGCATATTATACGAAACTATAAATGACAAGTATACAAATACAATACATATATATACAAGCATATATACCCGATAATTCAGAGAGCTGTCACATGTAATTTGAGATACCGTGCGCGTAGAATCCTCCCCCCCCCCCAAAAAAAAACAAAACAAAACCCCCATTCGGAGTTCATTTGTAAATAGAGAAATAACTTAAATTGAAATTGAACAAGATAATATACGTAAGAATTGAAAGCCAGCTTGTGAAAGTTTTTCATTGCCTTGGTTGGGGGGCAAATAGGTGACAAAATGGCAGTGTGGTAAGTTATTTGCAAACTTTAATGTTAGATTTGGGTCGCTCAAAAAAATTACGTTAAGACTCGGCTAAATACTTGGATAACTTTTATTTCAGATTAGGTAAATTTATTACATTTTTGCAGCATAAAGAAACTTTAAGGAAAATCTAATTGAAATTGCTGTACGTATGAATGCTAACTACATGAAAAGTTTTCAGTCTAAATAAATATACAAGCCAATCTGCATTAACAATATATATAATATAGTGAAGAAAAACATTTTTTCAAAACTTTGAAAAAATACAACGGTCTAATTTTTTTGTTAAATTAATGTAAAACTGGAAAAATCTTTTAACAAAAATTAGTTTGATTTGTTTTAAAGAGTTTTTGTAAATATACCAAAACTTAAAACATAGTGATTGCATTAAAATTAATCTTTGCTAATATATAAAATAGTAATTGAGGTTAAGCAAGCCACATGATAACTTGGCCAACAGCAACTGTATCGTGGTAAATGATGAGCTCACATTTATGCGGCATCCCCAGAGAAACGGAAAGTGTAAATAACTTTGGGAAAAAATCTGCAAAAATAACTGAGATCTTTAATCAACGCGATCATAACTTTTTAAGAGGCTGTTGACTAAAGGCAAACGGATTTTCGGCCCGGAAAGTTGGCCAAAGCTGGGAAAGTTTCGTATTTGGGCGGCACTAGCACTCGAAATGCGCTGCGTTTCCGTTTGTAGTTTCACCTGTGCTGTTCTGTTCTGTTCTGTTCTGTTCTGTACCGTCCATGTCCTGGCATGTCCTGTCCCGCCTCACACTTCAAATGGGCCACACACTCGGCAGCTGAAGCTCTGCACTTGGCAGTCAAAAGTTATCCGGAGAAGGAGTAGACCGCTCCGGCTCCGGCAAACATTTTGCTGCCTTTGTTGGCCGGAATGTTGCTGCTGCACTGCAACAATATATTATGCGCTAAGCTCCTCAACTATGCAGGCGGATGGCGGATGGCGGATGGGTGGCCATTTGGCTTCGGCTTTGGCTCTGGTTAACCGACTACCGTTTTGTAATTTATTTAAGTAATAAAATAAATATATACGTACGTTATAGGGTACGTACGTTGCGCACCTGCCCGTCTGGATGGCCATGTGCATGTGGATGTGGATGTGGATGTGCATGTGGATGGGAATGTGGACGGGAATGTGGATGTGGATGGAATGAGTATGAGGATGCGATGCTGCCAGCCGGTGGGCTTGTTGTCAAGCGAAAGTGCGCTCCAAGTGCACCAAGCACCCACTTGGCCAAAGTGAATTTAGTGTCAAGTGCAGGAAAATGTGAAAAGCAGCTGCGAGTTAGTTTTTCATATTTAAGCAGCACTTCAGTCAGCAACAACAACAACAGCAACAACAACTAAGAAGGGAGCGGCAAGAGGCCACACTGGTCGGTTATCTATGCAAAATCGATTGCCGTTCGCCCATGGGATATGCCCTTTACTTAAGGATTGAAAAGGAAAGCACAGGTAAGTGGTACAAATTTTTATTAGAGGTAATGCTTAAATTATTTTAAATAGTTTTATTGAATTAAAAAGTTTGTTTTTTTATAAATTTGTTTATCAGGTATATTATTCCATAGTAAAATAGAGTTTGTAAAAAGTTTTCTTTTTCATCAAAAACTTGTGCACCTTGGATGATGTATAAGTTAATCTGTAAAATTGCTGGAGAAAAGGGTTCCTTAGTGGTTATAATTTTGTGCATGTAAATAAGAGTGCTTAGCTCAATCCATTGACTAAAATTTAGGCCAAAAACCTTTTTACACGGATCCAAGCGACTGATACTAAACACATAGCAAACATAGCAACTATAGCTCAATTCAGTTTATAAAATTTAAAAATTTAAAATTTATAAATTACTGTAGCCCAATAATCCTTTAATTTACTAATATTTTGAATGCTATAATTTTAGTTTTGTCAACTAAGTAGGCTGAGTCTCTTGCTTCCTAATATCTCCGTACTGCCGCCCTTCAGTTCACATTTATTTCCAAACCCCATCAAACCTGTGTTAAGTCAAGCGTAAAACGAACGCGTAAAAAAATCAGTTTTTAGTTTTCAATTTCGGCCCTCGTGATATAGAAAGTATGGAGGAGTATTCGCGCGAACCGTGTCCTATACGCATTGTCGACGATTGTGGCGGCGCCTTCGCCATGGGCTGCGTCGGAGGCGGTCTCTTCCAAGGACTCAGGGGGTTCCGGAATGCGCCGCAGGGCTTTGGACATCGGTTTGTCGGCGGATTGGCGGCCGTAAAGGCCAGATCGCCGAGGATCGGCGGTAGTTTCGCCTCGTGGGGCTGTGTCTTCAGCATCGTGGACTGCAGCCTGGTGCATCTTCGCGAGAAGGAGGATCCGTGGAACTCGATCATGAGCGGGGCCATAGCCGGTGGGATACTGAGCTCACGAAATGGCGTGGCCGCCATGTGCGGCAGTGCGATTATGGGTGGCGTTCTGCTCTCGATGATCGAGGGCGTGGGCATCCTGTTCACCCGCATCTCAGCACCGCAGTTCTACAATCTGTCACCGCAGCCCACGGAATCTGACCTTCCATCCGACGATTTTAATTCTGCAACTGGCTTTGGATTCCCCGGCGCCCAGCAGTCCCCTAGCTAAATTTATTTTGTTCTGTCATTTAAGTCGACCGCCTTAATTTCCAATTATTTATATTCGATTGATTGTTTGGACTACGTCTGTATATATATATATATATACTTAAATGTGACCTTCGAAGTAAAATCATTAGTCTTTAACTCAAATAAATTGTGCAAATACAATTGAGTGATGGTTAATATCTTGATATATATAATCTCAATTTAAGATAACAAAAAAGTCATATTAAAGCTTTCGATTTGCAGTCCCTTGAATTAAATTAACGAGGAATAAAAAAAGAAACATTAAAAAGGTTATTTAATTTAATGTGCACCACTGTGCAGGGACATAAAATCAGGGAATGGGTGGCGGATCGAGAACCAGAACTTCGGGGCCACGATTTCAGCTGGCAGCTCCTTCAGGGCAAAACAATGACGCGCCGCATTTAGAAGCCTTTCGCTCTCGGTGCCCCACATGCCACCCACTTCCACTTCCACTTCCATTTCCATTTCCAGTCCCCCTCCCCCTCCCCCACCCTTACCCTAACCCCTTGGTGCCCCTCAGCACTCCGCTGCACCCCCTTAACCCAGCTCGTTCCGTGGCGGATGTCGTTGACTTTTCAAGTCGCATTAGAAGCGACACGGCGGCGTCGTCATCGCAGTGGTTGAGTTTTGGTTTGGGTGGGTGGAGTGGAGTGGAGTGGAGTGGTGGAGTGGTTGAGTGGGCGGTTTGGACGGTGGGTGGAGCATAAAAATACATGTAAGAGGCTTTCAGCTTATTGTTTGGCACTGTCGCGTTTTTATGATTGCACGCAAGGCACCAA